GAAATCAAGACAGAGTCGCACAGTACGTTTATGATTCGCGGACTTATTTTACATACGGAATAGCTGACGAGGGACTAGTTATCGAGGAGAACGGCGTGCGTCTCCGTTTGAACATTGTTGACACACCTGGTTACGGTGACCAGGTCAACAACGACCGATGGTAATTTGAGCCCTATCACGCCGAAGCTACTAGGTCTAAGCTAACCATGATCAGCTGGGACCCTATTGTCAAGTACATCAAGGATCAGCACTCGGCATACCTCCGCAAGGAACTCACTGCTCAGCGTGAGCGTTACATCCAAGATACCCGTGTTCACTGCTGCTTGTTTTTCATTCAGCCCTCCGGCCATGCGTGAGTTTGCCCTCATCTCTTAGCTTCCTTTGAGCTCTTTTAGACTGACCCATTGACTCCACACAGCCTCAAGCCCATCGATATCGTTGTTCTGAAGAAGCTGTCCGATGTCGTCAACGTTGTTCCAGTTATTGCCAAGTCCGACTCTCTCACCCTTGAAGAGCGCCAGGCCTTCAAGGAGCGCATCAAGGAGGAGTTCTCCTTCCACAACCTGAAGATGTACCCTTACGATAATGACGAGCTTGATGATGAGGAGCGTGCGATCAACGCTCAGATCAAGGTATGCTGAACCCAGGCAGAGCTATCATGACTTGATATTAACATCTGGTTACAGGATATCATTCCTTTCTCGGTTGTCGGCAGTGAGAAGACCATTGTTGTCAACGGCAAGCAGGTTCGCGGCCGCCAGAACCGCTGGGGTGTCATCAACGTCGAGGACGAGAACCACTGTGAATTCGTCTACCTGCGCAACTTCCTAACCCGCACCCACCTTCAGGATCTGGTCGAGACCACCAGCCAGATCCACTACGAGACTTTCCGTGCCAAGCAGCTGCTTGCCCTGAAGGAAAGCAGCGCTGCCGGTGGCCACACCGGTGGCAGCCGCCCCATCAGCCCCTCTGCGGATCGGGAGCTGAGCCGCAACTCGCAACGCGCAGCCATGAACGGATACTAAACCCTGTGATCTTTCATGTCTGATGCGAGCGTGGCCGTTGCACGACGGCCCTCTCCGAAAACTGTCCTCTTTTGACGCCAGCAGGCCCTTGCAGATATCCATTTTCTTTCCTTTCTTTTGCGTTTGTTTTCGTTTTGTATCCTAAATCCCACCTTGTCTCTTCCTGGGAGAACCATCGAGCTTGTATTGCCGGGGAAAAAGAGAATTGGCACTCCAGCGCTCGTGCCATATCTGGTGCTTTCCATGTACTTAGTTTTCTTAATTAACTTGACGAGAGAAACTTCTATTCTTGGGTTGAAAGATACAAACCGAGGCTGTCGTCTCGCTGGCCATGACGTCCACTAAATCACATTTCCTATATGTAATGTAGTGTACTATTGCGCAGCACCGAACTTACCGCCGTCAACAACCCAATCCCGCAGTTCAATATACGCCTTCTCGAGATCATCATTAACAACGATCTTATCATGAGCCGCGGGCTGCTTTGCGTACTCAAGCTCGTTCCGAGCTTGGCTGAGTCTTTTCTCTAGAGATTCTTCGGTTTCAGTGCCACGGCCACGGAGGCGCTGCTCCAGCACCTCGAGAGAAGGCGGCGCAAGGAACAAGAAACGCTAGAAATTATTAGTAAAGTCCCATTATCGAATTGCCTAGGATACTTTACCGCATTGAGATCCGTCCGCTTCACCTGCTTGACTCCTTCCATCTCAATGTCCAGTATGCAGATACGCTTCTTCTCGGCGATGTTCTTGACAGCCTGGACTGAGGTTCCATAGAAATTTCCGCCGAATTGAGCTGTTCTACCGGTTAGTTGCCATTCAACTTCTTCCTATAGCAGTGCAACCAACCATGTTCGATAAACCCGTTGTTGGCCACTAGCTCGAGGAATGCGTCCTTTGTGACAAAGTTATATTCACGGCCATGTTGCTCGCCAGGTCTCGGGGATCGTGTGGTTTCTATTCAGTCGGCGTGTGAGCAAAGCCGTTCGCGGATTCGTTCCACCCCTCTCCCTTTGTGCTTGGACTGACCCGAGATGGAAAATCCAAAGGTATCAGGATACTCGGCGAACAATCGCTTGAGCAAAGTTGACTTTCCAGTCCCCGATGGGCCCGAAATCACAATAGGGCGGTAGGCTATAGTATCAAAAGTGGCCTGGTCAGTATGTCTGCGTCGCACGGTGGGGTTATGTTCTGCCATTGTAGCAATCCTTACCAGAGGCCATTGTAGATGCAGAGTGGGTCGCACGGACGAGTGGTCTAAAGAAAGAGAAGGCGAAAGACGAGAGATGCATATAAGGATTGAAATAAAAATGAACAAAGCGATTTATTTAGGTCAAGACGGCTTCGTTCCGTCCAAATACAGCTTAGCTTATTTATTTATTAGGAAGGCGGAAGAAATGGCTATATTTCTTGGCATTCGGCCAGCGAGACTATCTATACGGAGTATACATGTACATGATAATAATATAAATAGGCAAGAGAAAGATCAAAGTATCAATATCCACGTTCTATCACTTTGCTGCTTTATACATTTCTGCACTCTATCATTTGAGAGGCCCCTGGTGGCTTCCTCGTCGCGATGGATTCATGTTACCCACCTCCGCTTCTTGCTCCAGGAAATTAGACCATAGTTCGGCTAACGTCTCTTTGCTGGAGGCACCATTGTCCATGAAATCCGCCGCCAGGTTTGGTGTGCTCGGGGTGCGGAGGGGAGTGCCAGGGACTCGGAGCTTTCCGGACATATTTGAGGTCCCTGGGCGCGCAAGACCTGCCTGTTCACGTTGCTCTATTTTCGATCAGATAGGTTCGAGAAATTCATTTTGCAGTACTCACCATCATTCCAGCCTAGGAGTGCAGCGATCAGTTGTAATATTTGGAATTTCTTTGGATCAGATCGGTCTAAAGCAAGGAAGTGCAGGAAATGGTTGGTGACAATATGTCTGTATGGAGTCAGCATGCCATTGAGGTACTTTGAGGTAATAAGAACGTACCTGTCAACGTTATCTTCCGGTTTTCCTTTCTTGAGGAATCGTAGGGCTTTCGTCAGATGGTCATTCAACGTGACTGCCTCATGCCGGAGCTTGCCAATGAGAAGGTTCTTCTCCTTGACCTCTTTCTCAAATGGCCGGACTCGCTCAATTTCTTCCTGGGCATTCTGCAGACCCTTATCGGCCTCAGTGGCCTGCTTCTGTGCTTCCCGCAGAGAGCGTCTGAGGTCCTCTAGTTGAGAATCAGAGCTCTCGACAAGCTCCCGCAACTCTTGCTTTCGCGCCAATTGAATTTCCTGCAAAGCCCGTTGGAGGCCGTCAACCGTTGACTGTTGGGTGTCACGTTCATCGGTGGCTCGTTCATAGCCATCTCTCAGGCTGCTGAGCTGCTCCTCCAGATCCCCGACCTTCTCGTTCAGGTTCTCCCGAATAGAGCGCTCCTCCATGGCAAGGATTTCCCAATTATGCATAGCCTCCTTCGCTTGTTCAAACTCCGACTGGAGGAACGACTCTTGCTCGAGCAATTCTTCCTTCTCCTTCAACCAATTCTGTTGGGACAAGTTCGTCCGCTCCCGAAGAGTAGACAGCTCCTTCTCCTTCTCCGCCGAGTCGCCCGATAGTTCTACCAACTGGGTGGACTTTGAATCGAGCTCATCCTTCAAGTTGTTATTCTCATCTTCGAGGTCTTCGATTTGTGATCGCGCTAGAGCCAATTCCTCCTATAGGGCAAGATTAGCCAAGATAGCCCAAGTAGTGAATTCTGATCCCACGCACAGCATCCTCCTTGAGCCGCTCCCCTAGTTGCGATTTGATGGTATTAACTCGTTCTAGGAGCTTCTGGAACTGCGTTTCCGCCTCCTCCTTTTTGCTCTCCGCGTCGTCCAATTTGTGCTGTAGGGCCTCCATGTCTGCGGTGTGCTTGGACTGAATCTCTTCCAATGATTTTCGCATGTCGGCTACTTCGGCGCGCAACGAGTCGCGATCTCGAACCAGTGCATCGAATCTGTCCTTTGGCTCGGTGCCATCGGAAGCGGGGTCCGACTGGACATCGGCTCCCGAGGGGGCATCGCTAGTAGCCACGGGCTCCTGGTTATTGACAGATCGATCTGGTAGACTGTCGTCTATCGTGTTGGGTTTGGCGCCGTTGGACTCTGGCACTTGTATGGGGTCCTCGTTGGCATCATAGGGCTCGTTCTTGTGGGGTCTCAGCAAAGATGCAATGACAATCAGGGAAGTTCACTACATACAGTGTCATTGTGATCGGCAGGCGCATCCTCTGGGTGCTCGGTTTTGGAGTCGGCTTTGGCTTTTGCGGCCTTCTTCTTATTCTTCTTAGACTTTGCGCCTTTTGCGGGGTCAGCGGGTTCCAATTCACAAAAGGAATGTCCTTACTTGGGGTAGCGGACGGTGGATTTCCTTCACTCATGCTGTGTGGTGTTTGAAAAGATCTTGGGGGAGGAAGATGGTGAATTCCTAAGGTTACAGGGTAAGCTGTCAACACGGCTAGCGCCCTTTCCGCCCTATGCCCAGATGATTAATCTACCATTCACCTTGTTACAATTATATTTTCACTTTTTGATTTGTATTTATTTGATCTGTATCTACACATGTTTGGATATATCATTCTGTACTTATATGCATATAGGGTACACTGCAAACCTGTACTATGTACGGAGTAAGGTCCCATAGTGTGCCCAAGGGAATTCGCCTATGGTGTATATTGGGAAAGAACCCTAGGATTCTTGTGGCATTAGGTAAGACTTTGAGAGTTAGTAAAGCCTTTTTTCTATCTCATATGACCTAAAAATATATAGGGGGGGAAGTCGGATCGGTATATCAAGGAGAAGAACAGGACTGCTTTGTTGTACTCTTATCAGTTGTCCTCCATGGTATATCGTATGTAGTAGAGGGTATAATTTTCACTTCGCTGGCTGCTCAAGATGACACACAGGCAAAGGGTGATCTTCCATTGGAAAAGACGGCAATGTCCATCACATGAAGTCGTCGAGGAAATCCTCATCGCGGTCCTGGTTGTTGCTGCGCTCCATATTCTCATCCGTGAACATATCATCATAGGCGTGATCTTTCTGCCACTTGAGCCGTTCATACTCTTGCTGCTTCTTCTTTTCCTTTGCACGCTCTTCATCTCGGGTCTTGCGATCACCGCGCTGCTTCTTCTTCGCGTCCTCTTCCTTCTCGGCTCGGAGATCGGGGTATTTCTCGACTCGGGTCTTGTTCAGCCGGTTGACAATTGGGTTCTCACGCTGCTTAACATAGACCTTGCGGACCAGCTTGTGATTATGGAAGGTGACTTGACCAGCTGCCATTGACCCGTCTTTCTTCAGGTTTGACCACGGTGTGTAGATAATGGTGATATTATCCTTCTTGTTTCCTTTCTGAAAGTCAGCCTCTGGTATCAAATGTTTTTCATGTCGAGGACCTCACCTTCAATGGAGTTCGCTTTTGTGAGCTGGGCGCAGTCCTCTAGAAGTGGCTGGGCAATGTTGTCCCATGTTTCACCTTCTCGAAGGCGTACGTAGACGTGTGCACTTGACAAATTGTCGACGTGGAACTGTCAAGTGTATAGAGGTATTAGGGCAGGCTGTCGCAAGTCGGAGAGGGAAAGACTGACCCTGCGCAAGAAAATCAGTCCCAAAGCTCTACAGATCTATATATACCGGGGAACATACCAGACATCATTGTCCAATCCATATTTAATGAGATCCTCGTCTGCCACTGTTAGAAAGTTTATTTCCTAGATTGATCTCAAGTGGCATACTCTCAAATTTGTCTTTGCCAACATAAATAAAGGCGGAGGGTTCGACGACAGTCGATGTGAAATAGAAAACCATGACGACAATATCCAATTCACGATTTGGACAAAGTTGGGTTCGAACAATATTGATCGGCGGTCAAAAGTTGAAATGGGGGGGGGGAAATCTTTATCTCGGCCTCTAAGGGAACTATCTATGGCTTAGTCAGCAGCATAGATCTCCAGGGCTTCAGGTCCAATTCGTCGTAGGAGTCGAAAAATGAACTTGAGAAATTTTCATTGCCGTTTTTTGATTCAATCAATAGAGCTTGGCTTTTTAGGTTGATTTAATATTGAACCGGCTGTATCTAGGCACTGTAAGTGGAATTATTACTTATATAAAAAGTAAGAGAAAGTGACCAAGTATGACTGTTTTTGTTTTTAAGATGGAGTATGAACTTGCTAGGAATCGTCTAGAAGAGCATCACCTTGAATACTGTTCGGGAATACATCAATGTTTGCCTGGTTTTCATGTACGGAACCTGCACTTGTGTATTTAGTAGCCCTAGAATGCAATGGAATGAGCTAAACAGATAAAGTAGAACGAGCAAAAAGTGTGAGACTCCAGAATATAAAGAACCTGGAGGGTAATATGTAAGAACTCGGTTGTTCAGCAGAGTCACGCAGCAATCAAAAACAAAGACCGACTTGAGCTATTGAAGAATAAATAATACTATATTTGGCTAGGGTAAATGATACCATTCAAAAATCAATTGGGCACAATCAATAATCTCATTGCGTGTAGTGTCAGTATCATTTCAAGGTCACCTTTGGTCAAAGCTGCTCCAGGCTAACACACCTGGTTCGGGGCTGCTCGGACCCTATCATTCCCAAAATGCTAACAGAAGCTATGCCATATCTTTACCCCAAGTACCGCAGGCTTCTTGATGATTTGAAAGTTTGCGAGTTCCTGTATTTAAAACGCAGTGGCACGATGCATTTCGCAGTGAAGTTTCTCGCAAGGTAATCGCTTTTGAAGGCCCACATCTTCGGGTCCTATTGAGTTTGGTATTAGTGAACAGGGTCACTGGAATGACTTTATGGAGTCAGAATTCAAGAACTTCAGACAGAAATGCCCGGTGCTTTTCGGGCATGACTGTTATAGGCTCAGAATAGCGTATGAGAGAAGGTTAAAGAGGTGAGACAGGGGAAGCCCTGGAACATTTAGAGTTGTTGTGTGGACCGTGTTAGGCCGTGTTCCAGGCACTTCCCACTTTTCACCTTTTTCTCTTTTGACTCTCTCTCTCTCTCTCTCAGATATCCGGTCTAGCATTTTGGTGTTGACAAAATGCATATGCTCTCGGAAAATTGGCCACGTTTGGTCCGCCTTCCAATCTGCCCTTCTTAAGGCTTCAGGATTATCATATCCCATATTCATGAGTTCCTCAAGATCGACATATTTGGAGAAGACATGTTCGGAGAAATTGACGATATTGAACCTAGTTCAACCGGTCCAGCAGAATGGCATCGCCAGTACACATCTGCCTATGTGTCATTCCATCGAAAGGGATAAACGAAGAAAAAGAAACCAAAAAAAAAAACGGCGAACACCCGAATGTGACCTCGGGATGCATAATGGTTCATAATGTGGATATGGGAGATACCCCTATTGATATTAGAACGTTTGAGTTTTCGACCTGGGATCTCAACGGTTAAATTCCGTGACCAAATGGACTCGAAAAACATGTCGGCACGAACCATTGCCGTTCCAAAAAAGGCCGAAGCGTGAAATCATCGGCCGAGACCACTTCAATTGAAAAAAAGAAAATCAGAAATTAATGAACCGGAACACGCTAAGGCAGTGTTTATATTCTCGGCAATGATTGGAATTCGGAAATTCAAGTCCCACGAGCCTCAGACAACGAGGACAGTTCCACTTTGATCGGACATTACTCTGGGGCCATTGCCCTTTTCCTCCAATTGGTCCTCACAGCCTACGGCTGTAAGCGACCTCGACCCTTGAACCCTATAACCCGGCGAATCATCATAGCGTTCACAACGGTTTCTCCACCGTCTCATCTTCTTAGACGGCTTAGTTCGATCCTAGCCGGAGCATTAAAATTGGCCGAGAAAACCGTTATACTAAGCCGACAAACTACTCCTTCGGTGTTCCTTTGGGAGTATAGATCTAATGGTCCCATGGGCTCATTGAAAGGGGGAAACCCCCAATATATCGCCAATTTCCGACCTATTCCTGAACTCTCAACAACCTATCATCTTTACTTTTCTATCGGATGTCACACTTTTATGGAAAGTATTTCGGACCTGACCCGGTTTTCTCCCCCCTTCCCTCCCTCTCCCGTTGCTCCACATCTATTCTCATTTAATTGAAAAAAAAAATTTAAAAAATAGATGATTTTCTTGTTTAGTCTTATGCACAGTCTCATCTCTTCCGCATTCTACTTGGTCTGAAACCCTTTTCGCTTGTGTTAAAGCCCTCGAGGCGCACATCTTCCCTTTTCTCTGTTGCCCCCCCCAAAAATAAAACCCCCAATCGTGAAATCTATCTTCCCTCTCAAACACAGCACATCCACTGAACACTATCATAAACACCCTCTACAATATGTCCAACCTTCCTTTATCTAGAAGCTGGCCAGAGATTCGTCAGGCTCTAGAACACGCTCGGGAATGCGAAGATGGCCCCGTGAATACCCAATCTGCCGTCGTTTTGGAGGCTGCCATCACCGAACTCTGGAATCGCATCCAGGCCCAACCGGATAGCTACGTACTCACGCCAGACGAGTTCGCCCTCTTTAATTACTTCCTCACCACGCGCTACCGTGGCTCACCTGTCGCCCAGAGAGCCGTGGCCCGTTTCTGGAACAACTACCAAGGAGCTACGAATTGCGATGGCGTCGCCAACTAGCCTTGAATTGCCTATTTATCGGTACATGCACTGGCCGAGAGGGTCCATTTTCTTTTGGGATTCCACAGGTCTCTGGAACTTGCGCAGTGGGTTTGAGGGTGCCCAATGCCTTGCATCATGGGGCCCATTGCCATCCTCAATCTCATTATACTTGCATAGTACGTGGTACTGGTACTGGTCTCCACCGTTCCAGCATCGAGCGGACCAGAAACTATAGAGCCAAACCCAGAACCAGAGTCAGATCTCGGGATATATCGCTTCATTTCCCATGTGAAGCCAAGATCAACCACTTCTCTACAGCCCAAGACAAAAAAGTGATGGACTCGGGATTTGCCAGGGTCAAATGGGATTGGATCGAATCCAAGTGACTTTGAATACACGGCAAATCCAGCAAATCGAACCGGTTTTCCTACCCTTTTCCCCAGTTCTAAAGGAAACGGTGTGATGACGGCATGCATGTATGCCCGTTCATTCCACTTTCCCTCTGCATCACAGGGAAGTGGCCCTGATCCCTGTCTTGATTGGGACACAATACATGCGTCGGGCTTCTAAAGAGAAAAAAAGAGGGGAACCCAATATAAGAACATGTTAGGCTAAAAAGAATATTATTTAGTCAAGACTTAGATGTTAGGATATATTCCTATTACTTTGGCTAGCGGGATTTTATTATATATCTCTTCCCGCTTTGACTTTTTTGTTTTGTATTTATTATGTATATTAACCATATTAATTTAGTTCATGTCACCAACGGGTATGTGACCATTACTAGCTACAGTAGCTGCAGCCAATTCTCCGAGACCCCAGGGGTACCACCCGGCTGCGAGTCATTCATTAGTGCGCCGGTATGAGCCACGTACCGTTAGTGTCTAGGTACTTTGCATATCCACATATGTTCTTGGCTTTCTCTTCCCCCCTATTTTTAGTCTCTCTTTTTTTTGGCCCCTGAGATTCAGTGTTTCATAAAAGTTATGTAACCCGTCGAAGGCCTGGATAAATATATAAGGATCTAATTGTAACCGGAGCCCCAAATGATTCTGATATGATCACGTGATGACAATTGCCCCAATATAGTAAACTAACATAGCTTCTACCAACTGTCTTCTCCAACTTCAGGTATTACAGTCCTTAAACCGTGATCTCCCTAAAAGGACAATTGGACGAAGTCTAATCTAATTATTTCTCCGCGCCAATTAAAGGTTTATCTTCCCTGGAATTCCTGAATGCTTTGCTCCGGGGATCCCTGATATCTGGCGCATTGTCTATTTTGGCCGTTGAAGAGTAGTAGCTGTAGAGTCTCGACTATTTGCGGCATTGTCTACCTCGAGAAACTGTGCAGGAGAACTCAATTTATTCATATACAATGCAGCTGGATAGTTCTCTGCGACCGATGATCCTCCTATCTGCAACCGCGCTAATGCTGTGCCCCAAGTGTAATTGCCCGTTTACCCTCCACTCTCCCCCTAAAATCAGATTTTCTGTGGCTGAGAGACTACCTCAGTATAGGGAGTTGTCGGCACATGAGAAGCTGCCTCCCCCAACACCCTCGCGAAGGTTGTGAAAGATCGACCGAATAGACGAATACAACCCGACAATGCACTGGTAACGTAAGTTAATGCGATCCCGCATATCACAGCGGAACGCAACTCACAATGAGAAACCCAAGAAACACCAAAAAGAGATTGAAGCAGAACAGCACCTTCTGCTGCCAGGTCAGGAACCAACAACTCCGGTTCAAATAGAGCCAAAACAGCCCAGGTAGACCAACTGAGAACCAACTAGCAAATAAGGAGCTCTAGTAGGAATGATTAGTACTTGCGGGTTGGGGTCAGGGTCAGATCAGGTAGTACAAACCGCAAGCCCTAGTACATCGTTGAAGACCGGTATTCCCTCGGCGATGATCCACGACAAGACCCAAAGCGCCGCACATATCGAAGTCCACACTAACCGCGCCATGAATGACTGGCTATGCATTGTGTTGGTGCCCCGGAAGACACGCACGTAAATGAACTTGACAGCAACATGGGCGTTCACCACACCCCCGATCACAATCTATCCAGTGGTTAGCTCATTATCCGAAAAAGTCCGCGAAGAAAAGGTACGTACCGTGGGTATTGCGATTGCATAGGAAACCTTGCGGAATAATTGTCCTGCAGAATTGAGAGCAGGTGAGTTGACCGTCGGTCCAATATAGGCATATATCACAATAGCAGCCACCGTATACAAAACCATTTCACTCATCTGCAGAAGCGCCAGAGCCTTGGGGAAGTCCTTGAGCTCCTTGAGCTCGGAGAAAAGGGTAAAGAATGCAACATGTCCGGCGTACGCAAAGATGATGTTTGCAATAGCAAGACATGCATCATGCACTTTAGGTGAAGGCGAAAAGGCCGGGACATGCACTGGTCCGTCTCTGACAAGGGTGACCCCAATCATACCAGTGAGAACCGCTCCGACGATACTGACAAAGCTCACGTAGGAGATGTGAGAAAGCCGCTCGAGTCGCCGTGGAAGGGTCAACATGAAAGAGGCGAATAAACCGGCAACCGAGAAGATGATAGTGCAAGACGAATGGTCGGTGAGGACGTTCATCATGATCGAAAATGTGAGAATATGGCTACCCATCACCAACACAAAAAAGATGAGCTGAGCCACGTCCAGTGTACTCCGTCCGAGCCTTCCCATCAGAAGATCACCAGCATCAGCCATGCTGTGCACTTGCACATGGCGGCATTTGAATTGCCCAATGGTATATGCAGTATAGGTCGAGATTATCCCAACCCCAAGGATGGTTAGGATGCCGCTGAAAAAACAGGTTAGCTCAGCCTTTGCAGTAACCGGGGAAGAGATCGTACGGAACAAGACCCAGTACCGCAAGCGCTTTGGGCAGTGCGAGAATACCAAGTGAGATGGTCTCTGCAATCATGACTGACCGGGTCTGTTAGAGAAAGGGCCATATGCAAGACATGGAGACTTACTCATGCCGGCTTGCCTGTTGAAGGGATGAGCTTCGCTCTGCCTGTAAAAGAAGGGAATACTCACCACCACGCCATGGTCTTGTACTTCACTCCAGCTTGACTTTCATCTCCGAAGGGATCCTGTTCTTCCAACTCTGGCTTGGGTACAGAATTTTTATCCGAATCCAAGTGCTTTCCAAAGCCAAGTGACAGATCAAGGTCAGACTGATTTGGCTTCATGATGTGTGACTGACAGAATGAAAAAATGCATAAGAAGTTGAAGAACTTTTGAAACTACAAGAAGACTCAGGGTGGCACTTTCCGAATGTGAAGGTGTGATATTTTTGGAAAGCGTCATGTCTTAGGGTTTGAGGAATTTTGAGGGTGTGAGGTCTCTTTTTTTGTATAGTCCCCCTTGTTAAGAGTGTCACGGAAAATCGAATATTGGAACAAAAAAAGAAGAAAAAGAAAAACGCTTCTATTTATACAAGCCCGCTCTATATATAACACACATTATCTAATTGAGCGTGACTTTCGCTGCAGGAGCAAGAGTAGTAGCACGCACGTCACTCTCAATCATGTCCGCGGGAGGTTCTAGGATGGTCAGCATTGTAATTGTGTGATGAAGTTTCAAAACATACCAGTACGAGAGAAAGTTGCACGCTCGGCATCATCGACCTGCTTGACACGGCCGCTCTGGACATCATTACGAGAAAGGCCCATGAAACTCTTGGGCAGACCCATGGACGAAAGGTAAGTCAAGGAATCCTTCCACTCGAGATCCTTGCGGGCGGCGGTCCACTCCAATTCCTCTCCCATGGTGTCAATCACGGTGGGGAGGGACTCGAGGGCGGCCTCGGCGTTCAGGAAAGCCAGACGGGTGCGACGGGCAATCACGTCGACGGCGGTCTGAGCATATTCGTGACGGACGGCGTAGCGGATCTCGCCATCAACGAAGGGGTACATGGGGGAGATGCGGCAGCCGCGCACGGGGAAACGTTCACTGGTAGGGGAAGACAAGGCAGCGACCTGCCAGGAGCGGTCACCGTACGACTCAGTGAGGTGCTTGGCCACGTCGGTCTCGAGGCCGAAGTGCTGGATCAGGTTGATGAAGAGGGTCTTGGAGAAACCATGGGCACCGATGAGGCGCACCTGGTGGGTTTGGCAGCTACCGTCCAGGACGGCACCGTCAGCAACCAGGCCACTACCGCCGACACCACTGATATCGGGAAGGCTGGTGAGCTGGCGGGGCTTGAGCTTGAACACGTCGATCGCCTCGTCCACGGCCTCCTCGGCCATCTGGCGGTAAGTAGTCCACTTACCACCGGCGCAAGTCAACAGTCCCGATTGAGAGACGGTCACCAGGTGGTTACGGACGAGAGCCTCCGAGTTCTTCACCTTGGGATCGCGCACCAGGGGACGGATACCAGACCAGGCAGCAAGGACGTCGCTTCGGTCCACGGTGATATCGGGGGCGATGTAGCCACGAATCTCCGAAAGGATCCAGTTGATGTCCTTCTCCGTGGGCTGGGGCTGGGCCTCAATCTCACAGGGCTGGTCAGTGGTACCAGCAATGGTGTTACCCTGCCATGGCAGGAAGAAGATCACACGTCCATCCGAGGTGGAAGGGTCGATTAGACCCATGTTTGAGGGGCTGAAGTAACCGGGCAGGATGATGTGGACACCAGCACTGGGGGCTACAATCTCCTTGACACTGGGCTCATCCATCTTGCGGATGGAATCACAGAAAGGACCAGTAGCGTTGATGATACCCTTGGCGCGAATGTTGAACTCCTTGGCGACCTGGCCATCCTTCTCTGCGATCATGTCCTTTGCGCGCGCACCGCACAGCTTGCCAGACGCATCCTTATTCAGTCCGGTGACCTCCAAGTGGTTCACGACGGTGGTACCGTAGAGCGCAGCAGTCATGGCGAGAGACACGTTCATGCGGGAGTCGTTGTGTGCACCGTCTTCGGAAATTAGCCCAGATCCTTTTCTTGTTTTGGGGTTATTTTTTGCAGTTCACTCACCATAGTACACCATTGCTCCAATGATGTTGTCACGCTTCAACATGGGGAATGCGTCAATGGCCTTACTCTTAGTCAGGAAGTACGAGGTCTCAATGCCCTCGGAACCAGCCAAGAAGTCATAGGCCTTGGTACCGGCCCAGAAATAGGGAGCCTGCCACCATTTCTGAACAGGCACCATAATTGGCAGCCATGATGACAGATGGGGAGCTGTGTTCAAGAAATACTTGCGCTCTCTGAGAGCCTCCTTGACCAGCGCATATCTGTGCGATGGTTAGCAGGGATGTCTTGCGTATGTGGTCATTTCGACCCCAAAAAGATTTCCAAAAAAAAAAAAAAAAAGTCCCCAAAGGTGAAAACTGACTGGTTGTAATCCAACTCCCAAAAGGCTTTTTCGAGGTAACGGACACCACCGTGTACCAGCTTAGTACTCTTACTACTGGTACCCGCACTGAAATCATCTCTCTCCACCACTGCGACCTTTAGGCCTCGGGTGGCGGCATCTAGTGCGATACCAGCTCCAGTGGCTCCGGCACCAATGATGAGCAGATCATATTCCTCCTCATCCTCACTGCGCTTGAGATCCTGAATCTGTTCGAGGCGAGACTTGATTGACGGGAAACTAGGAGGAACCAGCTTGCCTTCACGGTAACCTGGTGGGGGAACGGCGGGGGCTTCGAGGCCCGGAATATTTCGCGGACGATAAGAAATGTAGAGAACACCTGCTCCTGCAGCGGCGGCCGCGGATGTGTAGAGGAGAGGTCTCAAGAGCTTGCGCGAATGCCGAGCGGCCATTATCTGCGGTTTTCGAATGTATGTAATATGTTTAAAATGTTCAAATATGCCGGAATTTTTCTCCCCTAGGAAATATGTGCCAAAAGAGGGAGAGATGGGAAGAAAATGGGAGAGGTTTGAGAAGTTGAGGGGAGAGAAGAGGCGAAAGGCGGGAGGACCTGGGAAGACCTAGGAAGACCTAGGAGCTATGATAATTTCCCTTTTTTTTTTCTTTCTTATTTTTAACTATAAACTTGGACATAAATCTATGAAAGGAAAGATTTGCGACAATCTCTCTCTCAAGGTACCAGATACCTTGATCGCTATACCTTCCACTATGAATGTAGGGGTGTCACGAGTACAGAGTGCGTCATGGCAGCTCACTATTGGAGCATCTTGGCAGTGGATATACGTTCCCATGCGCCTCTTTCTTTTTTTCTCATCCCACCAATTGAGACTTAAAGTGGGCTCCCCATCCGGATCTTTACCCCCGACACATGACGCAAAGAAATTTCCTTGATTTTCTCCCCAATTGGTCCAAGAGTTTGTCCAGGTCCGGTATATCGGGAAACGGGAAGCCGATTCTGCATTTCCATTCCAGGCCGCGTTTTTTTTATATATTTTTTATATATTTTTTATCTCTGGGATCTACACAGGGTCTGGACTCGATCAATCTCTTCGTGGCCACCTGACTGAGAGCTCCATGAATATGGATGGACCAGTCACAGACTACCATATTGCCCCAGCCGGCCCAGGGGGGGCCCCGTTATGAACGCCTTGTTTGGATCTACTCCACTAGAATTGTTCAATTCCCCCTTGTGTACACATATCCTTATCCTTTCTGCCAGAATTCCGGTTTGGGTCCAAGAATGTTATCTATGGAATATGAAATATGGTCTGGAAATTTGGCCGAAATGAGGCTCTTTCTAGGACTTTAAAAAAGCAGCGCAAGTGGATATGATCTTCACTAGCCCCCTTATCCAGGATGTCATACGGGCTAAAAAGCAACTATATAACTATTTAAAAAAAAGGGTTTTCTGATGCTCAGAACTAAAGAGATCGGGCTAAATATCTTGGATATACCAGAAAGTTCTTCAGATAGGGGTGATACATTTATATATCTTCTCGGAAGACACACATGTTAATTGGAGATAATATACCCAATATCAAATACTAATAACAGGGATAACATCCATAGATAATTTATATATAACATAATACAGTTGACTAAGCGGAATAATTCCGTAGTGCGGAACCCTCTCGGCTGAGGAAAGTACATCGTCTACACCTGGCAAAGACCTGGCAATACCTGGGGTAGCGTGGGGTAACACTATGATTACTTGAACCGTGACGGAAATGTTCCATTCAGTGGATTAGAACTGTGATATTCCTTTGCTTATATATATATCCCCTCTGGTAGGTTCCTTATAAGTCTAATCCCATATCCATCATGGCCATCGCCGGTATCCTGGCATCGCTACAAGGCAGCGTGATTGAATATCCCTACCACTCGCTAGCTGCGACAGCCCTCCTCGCCCCCATCCTCTATGTCATTTTTAATGAATTCATTCGAGAGTCCGCCCGCGTGAAGGGTATGAAGGGTCCGCGCGGACTGCCGTTGATTGGAAACCTGGCGCAGATTCGCACAGATGCCGCGGAACAGTATCGCCTCTGGTCAAAAAAGCATGGCGCCGTTTATCAGATCCAGCTAGGGAACATCCCCGTCGTCGTGGTCAACTCTGCTGCGTCGGCAAAGGTGCTTTTCAGTCAGAATGCGCAAGCGTTGAGCTCCAGGCCCGAGACTTATACTTTCCATAAGGTTGGTTATCGGAGTTGTGCCATGTGGCTTTTCTTTTTGTAACTAAAAACTGATTCACTCGGTTAGATTGTTTCCAATACCGCTGGAACGACTATCGGTACCTCGCCCTACAGTGAGTCCTTGAAGAGACGCAGGAAGGGCGCCGCGTCGGCTCTCAACCGCCCCTCTGTGGATACATACGTGTCTCACCTTGACGTTGAGTCCAAGGCCTTTGTGGAAGAGCTGTACAGATATGGAAACCACGGAAAAACACCCGTCGACCCTATGCCCATGATCCAGCGTCTGAGCTTGAGTTTGGCCTTGACTCTAAACTGGGGCGTGCGCATTGCGTCGCAAGAAGAGGACTTGTTTGATGAAATCACCGAGGTGGAAGAAGAGATCAGTCGGTTCCGAAGCACCACTGGAAACCTGCAGGACTATATCCCTCTTCTGCGGTTGAATCCGTTTAGCTCCAACTCGAAGAAAGCTGCCGAGATGAGAATCCGTCGCGATAAGTATCTCGGTGCGCTTAATAGTGACTTGGATGATCGCATGGCAAAGGGGACGCATAAGCCCTGTATCCAGGCTAACGTTATTATGGATAAGGAGGCGAAGTTAAACAGTGAGGAGTTGACATCCATTAGCCTGACTATGCTTTCCGGTGGTCTTGATACTGTCACCACTTTGGTTGCATGGAGTCTGGGTTTGCTGGCTCAGCGTCCTGATATTCAAGATCGGGCAGCCAAGGCCATCCAGGAGATGTACGGTGAAGATGACCCCATGTGCTCTTCTGACGATGATCAGAAGTGTGCGTATATTGCAGCCCTAGTCAGGGAATGTCTTCGGTATGTTTCTGCTTTCACCAAGTGATGAATGGACGGGCTAACAACGCCATTAGATTCTTCACTGTCCTGCGATTAGCACTTCCTCGTACCTCGATCAAGGATATTACCTATAAGGGAATCACCATTCCCAAGGGCACGGTGTTTTTTTTGAATGCCTGGGCATGTAATATGGGTGAATCTTGACATCCCATAGAGCTACCAAACACCTCTAACCCTTCATAGATCCCGATGTGTGGACTGACCCGGATGAGTTCCGTCCCGAGCGTTGGCTTGAGCAGCCCGACGCTCCTCTCTTCACATACGGTATGGGCTACCGGATGTGCGCCGGTTCGCTGCTGGCCAATCGTGAGCTCTACCTCGTCTTCATCCGCACCCTCAACAGCTTCCGCCTCGAACCATATGACAAAACAGACTGCCACCCTCTCCGGGGTAACTCGGATCCGACTAGCTTGGTAGCCATTCCTCAAAAATATAAGGTCCGATTTGTACCGAAGAATGAAAAGGTTCTATCCAAGGTTCTTGGGCAGTGAATGGCTTGGTCTTTGGCATCAAGTTGGGAAGGGACTTGGGCACAGAGCCAAATGCGGTCGAGGGAGCGGGTATATATATTGGGCTCTAAGAACAATTTCCTTAACGTTTCAAAAACATCCAGTATATCCTTCCATTATAGGCAATCTGGTAGAAAAACTAATTAGGATATTCAACTCCAATGATGAGATATATATAACAGTTGAGGGGTATAGGTTCATAATAAATAAAAAAGGGACGTGATGGGTTTAAAAAAAAACAGAACAGAAACCCCCAAAAATAGTTTATCTTTTCCAACGCCTGATTCCAATGCACAATTTATGAAAGTAGATGGGATCCGATATCGAAAGATATTTTCGGGATCCGAATTGACATTATGTGGTAGTCATGCGCCGTTTCAGGTCGCGGACTTGGTCGAAGGAAGATGCGTAATCACGCAATTCATCCTGGAGGCGGTCGGCCACATTGGAATTGGATGTGGCCTTTAGTGAAGAGAGTGAGGTTTGAGATGAGGAGGCAGATAGGAGAGAGGTATCTGAAGCTTGAGTTTGGGCTTGGTTGATCTCAGACCAATGTGTAGAGGCTGCGCTCGATCTTCGTGATATTCCGGATATCTCGTCCAACTCCGCTAGACGGCAGGTTTGGGAACAGTAGGGAGCACCCAAAGTTTGACGGTCACAGACCAAGCAGAAGTCCAAAGACCATTCAGTCGACATAGTAGAACACAGTTCTCTTAAGGGATTGAGAATAGAAGATTTAGAAGGTGTATATATAAAAAGATGGAAGATCACACATCATGCCATAATAATGTCCCGGCTATTGCGGGGAAATATAATCGCGCAAAAAGAAAAAAAAAGAGGGGAATTGGGGAATTCTTTAGGCTTAGGGCGCTTAAAAAAAAGGAATTAAAAGGGCCAAGGGTACATAAGTAGAACTATTTAATAGTACCTAAATAGGTACCTAAATAGGTACCTAGATACCTAGATACCTCTAAAATCTGCAGGAACCTCGAACTGGTATGAATTTCCCGCGCTAATAGTCTCATGATGCCTATTAAGTATATGAATACACCAATCATAAAAGTTCAGTCTGTGCAGAAAAAAGGTTCAAAGAGGGGGAAAGAATGATCTTAATCTCCTGATTTGTCGGCCATTTCGAGATAACCATCTTTATGGCTCTAGTCAGCTGAGAATATTCTGGATTCTCAAGGTGTGCCCCATTGGACCATTTGAAGAACTCTTCTCTTCTTTTGATAGTCTCTTTTTTTCTTCTTCTTTTTCTTCTTCCTAGGCACGGGAGAGTCAAGTACTTGGTAGGTCCGAGTGCATTTCACAAAATGCAATGGCCAATTCTGTAACCCGATACACATAGGGAGATAGCTCGGAGAGATAAAACCGAGCCAGTAAATGGCCCATAAACCTTTCCAATGATTCAATGTAGAAAGGACCAGTTTCAGCTGGGAATGAGATAGTACGTCACTCTGATTCACTCAACAGTCTTCTCACGTGGCTCAGCTGGAATGCGAACCAGCGTTGATGGTAGATTACGCGGTTTCTCCACATTCTGATCCGACTGTTCGTAGAGTCCGCCTGCCTTACCTACATAAAAATCAGTATCGAGAGAAGAAAAAAAAACAAATTTACATTTGCACTTACTCGAGGCGAGAGTGATGGCCCTAATAACATTATCCCAGTTAGAAAGTACGCATGCAACAGCTGGTACAAAATTAGCGAGCCCGGATCAAGGGACAGATAGGCCAACCTTCGGTGCCATCTTTCAGTGTGGAGATCTTATTATCCAAAGCTTGCATCTGAATCGCCAAGGTTCCACTTAGATCGCGTAGTTGTCGCAAATTCTCTAACTCGGCCTTTTTAGCTGCAATGCGGGCCGATAGCGCCGAAGATTGCTGTGATTGCGAACTGGGGCGCATCGATGAGCCACCGGGAAGCATTGAGGTTGGTCGTGAGGAGTATGCCATGATGGAAAGGTTGTAGAAAGTACAAGATAGAATGCCAAAACTGTACCTGGACATCCATGGATACATGGCCAAAGCTGACTCATCCAGACTAAACTCAAAGTGGACAAACATCAACAAGGGCTTGGCATCGCTGTTTACCTTCTCTCTTTGTATTCCCTCTCAAGACTTGACACACAGTCATTTCCTGGTGTGTGATCTGTGAACTCGATATCATAATTCAAGTTCATCTCACCTACACACCAGGATTGTCTTTCAATTCGTATTACGCAGTGGTCCCCACATACACACCATGGCGCGGTTGAATGACTACCCGGCGCCTGCTGAGTCCATTGATGCCTGTAAGTTGGCACAATCTACTATATAACCATATTTGAGCTAGCAATTTGACATGTGTGCTTGGTTTCTATCCAGTGAAACGACGATTTGTGCGACAAAACCGTGAGATCGCGAGAGTGAATTCCTTGCAATCTCTTCGTATTCGGAGCCTAGAGTCAGAAGTCTCGCATCTACTTTCAGAGAATGTGTCGCTTCGAAAACAGGTCATCAATCTCACCCAAGAAACCGAAAGACTGGAAGCAGGGAAACTGCTACACAATGGAATCTACGACATCAAATCCAAGCTGGATGCGAAACTAGCCGAGTTGAGCAATTTGGCGGCAGATTTGGGCTCGTTACCCCGCAAGGTGGGCAAGCTTTGCGACCAGGAGTTTGATCGGCCAAAGCAAGCAGAGTCAAGACCGAGGACGGAAGACATGATGGGAGGCGAAGATGGAAGACTTCCTGCCATTGTTGAAGACAAATATTATCCTCGGCGGACTTTGGAGTAAGGATCTTCGAGATTGTCGGGTCACTTCCAGTTGTTAACACCTTTTTTAGGCCCCAAGAGCTTGACAGCCTGATTCACAGCGACCACAGCATTCTAGATTCCCCTCCACAGTTTAGCTTTATGCCGGAAGGAGATGCATCCATCGAACATTCAAGTCCATCGCCACTAGAATCAACATTCAGGAGCCAAAGTAACAATGATATACCCGAAGAACCCGAGCCATTACTTCCTCCCACTCTCGAGACGCGCAAGAAGAAAAAGAAGTCGAGTTCGATTATTGCGCCTGAAATTAGCCCCGCCCCAACAGACCGGCAACCAAGTCCACCCATTGATACAACACAACACGCGGCATCGGTTTCGACGAAGCGCAAATACATACCCGAAGACGATGACCGGTTCACGTCCAATCTTAATGTCGACGATGATGAATTCCAATTCACCCGGCCCAGCCACAGCCCCAAAAAGCAAAAGAACCCATTCGAGGTCACACAGCAAGACCAGTCACCCACCAAAAGCCATATTGAATTGACAAGAGTGTCAAAAACCCCCGTTCTATCTATGCGGAAGGTCCTCGAACCAAGTATGTTCTGCTGTTCTTTGGTTCCATCCCAACAATCAATGTAGCTAACAACCGGAACAGAGAGTGCAAACTCCAATCTAGGCTCCCCAAAGAAGGCCCGCATGTCTTCATACCCGGACTCTAAGCTTCTACAAAAACCTACGAAGGGCGATGAGAATAGAAACTCGCCGCAGAAAGTCAAGGATGTCGAGAAGCTCAGTGGCAAGACTGTCAATCAAAAGCCACGTGTGGCCAGAATCGCCCCTTCAAACAAAGAGAAGCGCATGAGCCGCCCTGCCCCTCCTCAACTGGAAGAGCCAGCCCCACGTCAGTCAGCACTGTCACCACACCCGAATGCATTGAATACGGAAGATGAGTCTGCAACTCGTCCTTCCCGACGTCGTGGTGCTGTGGTTAGCTATGCAGAGCCTAACCTACGAGACAAAATGCGTCGCCCTACCAAGGAAATGATCGATGCTGTTGCACTTGGATCGCGAAGGTCCTCCAGTTTCCAGGCAGGTCGGGAAAGTTTGAACGGAGAGGACGGTCACACCCAGCCTCATGGCAGTCTCCCTGCTGATTTCACTCTTGCCGCGCAGAGCTCTGGTCTGTTCTCTGTGGATGGATCTTCAGAACAGCTGCTAGCAATGGTCTCCCGGAGAAAGCGTAAAGTGTCGTCAACCCCAAAGGACGACAGCGATGCGGGGAACCCAAGCTCTAACCTCAAAAAAGAGATTGAGGACAGCCTTGCAGATATCTCTGCCCAAGTATCTCAAGAACCATTCAATTCGAGGCGTCAGACTCGACGTCACTCGTCAAACCCCAAAAGTACAACCGCCAACATAGCACAACACGAGGTGGACCAGGCTGAACCACAATCTCCAATCGGTGATTCTCTAGAAGATGAAGACTCATTTGGACCGGGACCAAACGGTTCCACGATGGACACTAGTCACGTCAGACGTGGCCAACGCGTTGCTGCAAGGAGAAAAAGCATGATGGTGTGATATTCGCTTTAGCGCTTGCAGAAACAGGATTTCTCTATCCTTCGCCTAGCCTATGTACAATCATTATAGACTGGACCGGGCTGCAGTTATGTTTCAGATACCCCTCCACTGCGATCCCGATCTTCTCAATATAAATTTCATTATCTTGTCTACCCGTTCCAAGCAGACCAAGTAGCTCTTTCAATTACCATTGAACCGCCGCGTCGCATGCAGCGGACCGTAAATGGATTTAACATGCCATTCTCCTGCCTCCTTGATCATGCCATCGTACGTTTTCCAACACGCCACCGGATGAGGTGTCTCTGTCCCAGCGTCGTGCAAATGTCATACACACTGCGCTGGTCCGCCACAGCTCACCAAGGGCGAGGTAGAATATACACCCCAACCAGGAGGATTTGTACGGCTGTGAATCAGGCCCCAAACCCAAGTCTCGGGCTTTGCGCAGTTCCGCCTCATTGCCTTGTATTGCATTGCCTCGCCACTCAGGAGAAAAAACCCCCAAACCAGGTCAAGTACTCCGCGCATGGGTTTGATTTTGATTCTTCGACGGCTTAGGCATCTTCTCGTACGCATTCGGACTCGGCTTCCTGCGCTTGTTTTTCGGCTTAGATCTGTGATCCTCGGGGCGACACCCTTCATCGTGGTGGGACGTGTGATCGCCGTGCGCTCCATTGTGTGAATGTGTGTGGCGAGCCCGGTTGACTCTGGCAGTGCGACGGTCGTCTTCGCTCTCGCTGTCACTCTCCGATGAGCTAGATGATGACTCCTCTGAGCTACTTTCTCCTACTGGCCGGGCTTTGTGGTAGATGCAGCATACTGGTGGCGGTTAGATTGTTGCTAATGCGGGGGGATAATTGGGAATAATTGGGATAAACAGAATGAATAGATTAAATATATACCTTTTGAGCTCTTTCTCCCCATGCCTTCATTGTCTACAACATCTTCACTCCATCTGATTCGCCGAGAAGACGATGTTTCTTCGCTGGTGTCAGTGGGAGCTTCCTCTGCTCGTAATCTGAGGGTAGCGGGAATTCGGGCAGTTAAGGAGTCTTGTGCGGTCTCTGTAATGGTTTGGAATGTATTTGACGTTGGTTGGCGTGTTCGAGACATTGTGATGGGGATGGGATAGGGGTCAAAGAATCCAAAAATATCAAAGATCTGACGGACTACTTTTTCTGATGATGTAATTGATAAGGATTCACCGCCTTTGGTCTGATCTCCCCACATTTATAGAACCTCGCGATATATACAACGTACAATATAACAACCTTAGGCCTACATCAAATGAATTAGCCAGGCATTGGTTGATTTGGATAAGATTCAGCAATATGAGAATCAGTCTAGGTTGCATACAAAGCCTATCTAAATTTACGGATTGTCCACTTCACCTTGAATTGGAGATATTTTTTTAAATCATTTGACGTTAAAAGCTATCAAACAAGCTCACGCCTTGGATAGGCAAAGTACACGTGGGATAAATTTTTTTAAATCCGTTCCGTGAAAAGAGCTGTGATGTACCAACCTCGAAGAACCCGCTCAGCCAGGGAATGGGTCTATCTCGCATGTCCGATAGCCAACCAAGGAGGGGGATAAAAAAAGAAAAGATAAAAGGATAAATTCACACACATCTTTCCAGAGCAATTCTATGTTGCATTGACACATGGCTTCCCATGATCTAGAGCTCGTAGAAAGACCAGCCGTCAAGGCCGTCATCCCGGGAGGTCAAGCTTGATTCTGGCTCATGTCCAGGGGAACCAGTAGAGGCAGCAACAAACTCGGTGCGCAGTTCTTGGTCCAGTCATAGCTCATCCTCCTGATCCATCTCCGACGGCTTCAACAGGCCCCCGACCTTCATAGCTCGGTCGCGTTCGGCGACTTGGGCATCACGCACTGCCTGTTCCCGTTCTTCCGCATACAGCTCCGCGTTATCATCGGAGAACTCCTTCAGAGAAATCAAGAAATCACGAAGGTGAGTCTTGAATTTGTTCAGGTCATCAGTGTATGCAAACAGTCCGATAACAAACTGCTTGATTTGTGTTCTGGTGGGAAAAGTCAGTATGGTCTTGCATGGGGTCTCAGCTGATGGGGAGGGAGCTTACTCTTGAAGATTACTGAATGCATTCTTCAGGAGATTTGCGATGTGCTCCTGCAAGAAATCCTTGTTGGAAGTTCCAGCCGGGGCTTGGTCGGGGGAATAGATGGGCTCCTGGATTTTGCCGGATTCCACAAAGTAAAACATGCGCGACAAAAGCATGGCTTGGGATTTGAATCCTAAAAGTTCACATTGTAAGCTTCTTACTTCATATCGAGGATATAAAGGACATTACTTACCGGCCTTATGGTCACTATCCGTAAGGACAAAGAAGACGTCCTGGAGAATTGCAATGTAGAATTCGCGGAAGAAAATGCTCGAGGTTTGCTGGTCAGTTTCGGCCATGTTGTTCATCAGCTCCAGGCACATTGTAAGACCAGTGTTCTCGACCTCGCGGTTGTCATGCTTCGATGCCCACATGCATGAATCGATAACGAACTTGAACTGCGCAGCATCGAGCTTCAGAAGTGCCTGGAAGCAGTACAGATTCACAGCTTGAAGCAATTTGAAGAACTCAACCCGGTGCTCAGGGTATTCGTGGAAGTCCTTATTGATCATCTCAAGAGTGCAGTTGAAAACACTGTCCATGATAGCTGGAATCTTATCCTCCATCAGGTTCTAATTAACTCGTTAGCAGGGTGCAAGTACACGCGGAAGTACCAGCCGATAAGATAAAGGGGGGATCCCAGTCATTAAGCCAAACAAGCAGGGAGAAGAGACTTACGTGAAGCTTGTGGATTATCGTAGTCATGGCATTCAAGACCTCAGCCTCGCGTGCATCGGGGACGTTCCGGGCATAATCAATCAGTACAGCCTCCATGAGCGGCGGTACCATGCTGGCATTGACCATCTCAAGGTCGTCTGATTTGTCCACGTAGGTGTCGATGAGCTTCAAGATTTCTTTCTTGATGGTCCGAAGTCCTCGGACCTTGGGGGTTTTCGGCGCAATCGCTCCTGTTTGTGTCAGTAAAGAAAAATTCGGGCTGTTCATCAACGGTGAATTGGGTTAATTACCATCACTTGCAACAGCATCATTAATCAGCTGGCTGGCAGCACGGTACATATTCAACATGTCGTGATAGATCCGGCCAATCTGAGAATAAAAGTAGGTACCAATCGAGGAGCAAGCCGCGACATTAGTCTTCATGATGTTTCCGACGATCTTGATGGTGTTAGCGTCTTGGAGAATGGCCGGGTTTTGGTTTGCCTCGGCGATAATCTGATCCCAGGCGGTGTTGGGGAGAGCCATCAAGTTCTCAGTCAAGCGGTCTTGGAGACCCTTTTGTCCTTGAGCTGAGATCATGTAGCCACAGGCTTCGTAGAAAGTATGAATCTGTTGCGGGGAAAGGTCCATGGTGATCTTCCTCATATTTCGGACAATTTCTTCGATAAAAGGTTCACTTTCACCGGGTTGGAGTGCCACGAAATGCCGTCTGCACTTGTTGGCGATCTTGATGAACGTATCGCAAGCCATGTCTTGGACACCTTCGTGTGTCTCGTGCATAAACTCGAAAAGCTTGTTGACGACCGTCTTCAGGAACTTCCAGTGAGCCTTCAAGAACCGGGGATATTGTCCCACGATGTACATGATGTTACTCGCCACAACGGCTTTGTTGTCCTTTCCGCGCTTCTGCTCTGTGAGGCCAAGGAGGTCCTTGATTACGGTTACCAGGAAACGTTTCTCGGTTTCCTCGTTCATGGCTCCAGAGATAGAACCGATAGCCCAGCACAGCGTGTTGCAATTCACCCACGACCATTCACTTCCATCAACTTGCTTGGCCAGTTTATCAATCATGATGGTCTCCGTATCGACCACATCAAGATGGGTCAGGTACACCAAGCACTCGCGTATCGTCTTGTAAAGCTGGATGGTATCGCTTTCCTTGACGAACTCGCGCACAATTTCACCCTCGTCGTTTTCAACAACCAAGACCTCTTCTGGGCGGACCATCTTCTCGATCATCACGGTGCGAAGGTTTGTTAACACGGTCTCGTACTTGTGCTTGCGCAAGGGGTAGTTCGCTAGGGTAGTGGGATTGGGGGCGCCACCGTTCGCCAACCCACTAACGCTCATGGATACCAGCGGGTTGATGTCTGTAATTGGGAGCTGCTGCATCTCTTCGTAAAGTTCTTGCACCAGCCTAGTCCAGTAGTCCAAGCAAATCTTGAACACCTCCCGATCATCGATCTGGCTGACCCGAATCAGATAGAAATGTGCGTGGGTGAGGTAATCTTGGTTAGGCAACTTTTCGATAAGCTAGAAAAGAAGAAGAAAGTCAGCAAAGGCCAAAAATCGAAAAGAAAACACAAGGCGTTGGAGAAAAGGAGCGTACATCGAGATGAGCACTGAAAAAACTGGAGAGGAACAAAGCCAAGTTTGATACAAATTCTTGGTCTCTTCCATTGCTCATAGCATATGTCTGCTTCAAATCCAGGGAGAGAGGAATGACGTTAGAAACGGTGGTGAGGGTCTCGGTGAACATGTGCACCAATCGTTCGTCATAATTGTACGGAGTGCCGATTTGCAAGCCACCAATCTCCGTCAGACACTTCAAAGTCACATTTCGGAACTCGGGCTCTCCGAGGAACCGGGTAAGGAGAGTGTTGATGATGGGGGTTTCGAAGATGTAGCCTAACGGTATCCAGTTCAAAAATCGAAGGAGAGTTTCGAGGGTCGCTTTCACCAAACTGGGCTGGTTCGCAGTGTTGAGAACCTCGGAGCACAGTTGGAAGATAGAGGCAAATTCCGATGTCATGGAGGTCTTCAGGTTCCGTGCCTTGGCAGAGGTCATTTGATCTTGCGAAAAATCGAAGACTTCCTCCGACAACAGACGGAGAATTGTCATGTTGTTTTCACAGATCGAAAGGCTGGCATGGCAAGAGGAAATGATCTCGTTGATGAAGGTGG